AAGTATGTAATAACTTAATTTTGAGTTCTATGCACAATACAATTATCTCGACTTTATGTCGACTACTTTAAATAATTGTATATCATATTTGAATAAATGTGTATTAATCTTTTTTTAAAATTTAATAAACAATAAATAATTTTACTTAAAATTAATTTTAAAGCTGACAAACATTATTAATAACTAAATAGTAGAATAATGATATTTCAAAAGGTCCATTAATACGTTGCACATGTGACGTTGAAACTTTATATTTTTATGTCGATCGTATTTTTATTTAAATTAGGTTAATTGGCTTCCTTCAATTCCAGCCAACAAATTAGCGTCGATAACGTATCGGGAAAAAAAACGAGAAAATCAATGTATATACTCTTTTTTATTGCTCATACCGTGAGTCCGTATGTAAATTGGGTCTCCTGAAAATATGAAAATAATCTTGTCGACGGGAAAGATATGGCTCGCGTGACGACAATCGCTTCCTTGCGATTTTACTTCCGTTCGCCACTTTGTTCCGACCTCGAAGATGTCAGCTTGTATAGGAAACGTCGGTTCTATTAATTTTAGAATATTTTTAGAAAATGAATGAAGTTTAATTGCAGAAAGTTTAATTTTAATCATAAGTATTTTAATTTTGCACACAATAACATTTTAATAGTAGGCATAAATGGAACTTTCCATATACATCTCTATATTAACCCTAGCTGTATACACACTGGGGTTTCCAGCACAATTTTCTAAATCGAGGTTTTTTCGTGTTTCTAAATTTTTCTTTTTCTTTGAACTTATATATTTCGAAGTTCCTTAATTCTATCAACTTTTACACATGATAAGCTAGTTCCTTAATTAAGTTCCTTAATTCTTCATTGATTGAAAAAAAAATTAATTGAAATATCCATTTTAACAGAAGTTATGGTAACAAATATGGATGGGATCCCAGGAACTCCAGTGTGTAGCTCTAAGGTGCAAAAAACAAGTGTGTACACTTAGGGTTAAAAGAGAAAATTTCAATGAGAAGAAATTATTCGGTTATTCACTTATTCTATTACCTAAGAAATTCAAAAACGTTGCAAAGTCGATCGACTGTATAAAAATGCAGATTAGAAGGGTGACTAAAATACAATAGTGTCACGTAATCGTTCCGGTGTCACGTAACCATTCTAGAATCGATCTAGAATTACCGAGAGGACACATTCTATCTTTCTCGATTCGTTTTACGATGGACAGCGGCGGTTTGTCGGACAGCTTTTGAATTGGATTAAAGGCTGGCGTAGGGTTGGAAGCTAACCCTTCGCCCTTCAATTCCTCGATTTTCACCGAAACAAGCCGACAAGCATGAGACAGAGACAGGTTCAACAGTGCGGTGTTTGATCGGACAATTTATGTCGATCCAATTTATGTCGATGGGATTGCCTAACTTATTTCGTTTACTTACTTTACATAGAAATGGAATCGCCTACTTTCGAACACTAAAACGTCCTGTAATTTTTTAGCATTGTATCCACTGCACATTTTTTTTATTTGTAAATCTATAATTTTGTCGGTGCATTCAATATTATTTGGAAGTTCATAAAAAATGATTAGCAGATAAATAAATTTTAAGTTTCAGATAGTCTGATTAAATTATGCGTAGATTAATTTAAAATAGTCATTGATTAAAATTTTTTCGTTTCAACCTTTTAATTAAAATAAGAAAAAAAATCTAAAAATGAGATCGATTTTATTATGATAATTAAATACGTTTTACTGGAAATTTAATTGAGCTGAATTTATATTTTAAATTTAATAATAAAGAAAAATAATTTATGAAACAGTGTTAACAAATGCAAATAAATCTTGATTCTTATAAAAATGTTTGCCGAGTCAAGGTCTCCACTGGAGCACGTTGGACTTGCTCTTGGATTTACGCCGGGACACTTGTTGCCCCCGTCAAGCTTATCGTGAGCGAGTCCATCGCATGTAAATAGTTTTGCGCGACTTCTTGACCTCTGTCTTGTACGTGATTATTTTATAAGTCACAATTGTGTGTGGCAGAGCGCATTGTCTTTTTATCATTTTGTCGCATCATTAATCGAAATCCTTCAATATCAGAATATTTTGATTGTGCGATATCAGTTAAAAGTATCAGTCAAACAATCAATTAAAATAAGCTAGTATCAGTCAAATACAAAAAGCATGGACTGTTCCATAAAAGTGATCAATAAAAATGAAAGTGATAGGTTGCGAAAATGACCAGTTTCTATCTCTTTCTGTTCAATTAATCGCAATATTAGAAAGAGAAGAAGTTTAGTCGTCTTCACGCTCCCTCTTTTTTATTTTTGTTGAATATTTTATTTAATATTATACTATTTAGATACGAATGAACAGCCCATGCTCTATCTTTGATATCAGTCAATACTATTACACAAATTTTGATATATTATTCTATGAATACTTCTTGAAGCTAAGTACAAAGAACAAAACAATAAATATCTTTATTTCTAATATTTTATAATGATTTTATAACAAAACGACCATATTTTGTTGCAGTTTTACAATAAGTCAATCACTTTTAATAAGCTGATCCAAATAAACTTTTGCATAAATATTTATTATTGTTTTATTAATAAATATTATTGTTTTATTATATAAAATTTTTTATTTAATTCTTAATGTTCTCATCATATAAAAACGATTTTACGTAAGAACCAAGACAAACAAAAAAATTAAATAATAAGATTTTTAAACTAATAAGAAAAAGTATTCTTGAATATATTCGTAATAATAGATATTCGTAATAATAGAACAATCTATAAAATTTTTATATTTTTAGTTTACTATTTTTAGATGTGACATATAAATTCTTAATAGCAAATTCGGTTGCTTGAGTTACACTACACTAGTGTATATTAAAAACTAGAGATGCACCGAATCGTAAAATTATATCGGATATCCGCTATCTAATCAAATATTTAAGAAGGCAATTTCTTTGAATCGGATATCCGATCGGATTTCTTGGATATTTTCTGAATATCCAATCGGATTTTGACAAAATGTGTTCTTCTAAAAAAAAGAAAAGCCTATAAAAAAAGATAGTAATTTTTCAATAATATATAAGATATTATAGCATCATGAATATGCATACTTACTTTTAGAACATTTGGATAAGAAAAAAAATACAATTTAATGATATCAAATTTTAACCGGATATATTCCTGGATACTAATGATATCCGATTGGATAGTAAAAGAAGTGGATAATACCGGATACCGGATATTTTCCAAATATCCGATGCATCTCTATTAAAAACTGCTATACATAAAATTAGTAAAATTAATGCAAAAACGTATAAATATTTTAAAAATTAAATATCCAGTAATGATATTGTCACGTTACTAATAAAATATATAAAATGTATTATTTGATTGTCAAAGTTGATTATATTATGCATTTACTGCATTTACATACTTTGTATAAAGTAGTCTTTTTAATGCGCAGTAATCCGGTGTGTAGAATGCGAATCGAATTCACTATAAACCAATAGAAAGGCTAATCACAATCAATCAAGCAATAAAACTCAATCATCCCGGCTGAATGTAAAATTCGCATTCCTGTAAATCGCAAAGCTGCTTATCATATAAAGTGAAAAATAAATTCTTTTTAAATTCAAAGGAGAAGAAAAATGAATATACATAAGAACAATGTAATGAAATTTGCTAGAGAAAACGATATCGAGGTACGGTATCCTTAATAGAATGATTTTAAATATTGTTTAAATAAAACAAGAGTGAGTTAATTCTCCGGACTGTGGAGACCGAAGGTTACGGTAGAATAGAAAGCTCTTCGATGGGGGGTAACATTTACTCTTCCAGTAAACAGCCAGCCGCTGTCTATAATGTGGCGCGTGGGGTTGGCGCGAGCGCCGTACGAGAAGGGAGGGCTATCGACCCTACATCTGCCTATATCGACAGCAACGGAGGAACCACGCGGTCTGCTACATGCAACCCTCTTTCTTAAAGGCTGCTATATACTGTGACACACGTGTATCGACAAATCGACTACGGAGTCTCCGTTTTGTTGAAATGCGATATCTGAAATTTAATTTGCAAGTGTGTTTTTGTCCAAAATGAAAAATATTGACACGAGGCTTATATGATACAGCTGCACGTATCAACATATATGAGCGCTGCGTCATATCATGAGATTCAAAATGTTGCATACACGTATATATATAATATGTATATACGCAGTAGCTACACTTTTACCGCGAAATGTTAAATCATTCAGAATATAATGTGTATTAATGTGTATAATAGCTGCAATAATGAAAATATTTTCTTGCTGATATGAAATAAATTAAATTATAAATTATAACTACACAATTATTTAATTCGTTTAATTAAATCTTTAATTTTATATATATGTTTATATTACTATAAATAATGTTTATATTACTATAAATTTTATTTGCTATTTCCACCATGTTAAGCTTCTGATTATGTGACTTAGAATTGAAAGCATTCTTTTTTATAAAAATTACTCATTTTGATTCCCCTCGAATACTTGGAAGGTTAAACTTCATTTCGCTTTTACACGCAGAATTCTTACGAATTGCAAAGTTAACGGTTACTTACTTACAATCTCGTCGTTTGCTTTGCACGAACGTAAAGCAACAGGTAAATGTTCTAGCATCGCATGTCACAATTAATTTCTTTTACGTCGAGACAGCGTGAACGCGACCGATTAGAGAGATTATAACATATAAGATAGAGATCTTAATTGTTGAAAAGAGTGTTTAATTCATTGTAACGCGACCTTTCACTTTTGCAAAATGGCACATTTTTTTATCATTTCCAGCTTATATATAGGATATTCTAAGCCTTGTCGTAGAATCGCGCCATTTTAATATTCAATTATTAATATGTTTATTATTAATATGTTTATTATTAATATTTTTTATTAATATTTATTATTAATATTTATATTTTTAATGATTTACATAATAATACTTTTTAAGTCCTTACCTTATGGTGGATAAGCGATATGTCTTTTGGAATGTAAGATGATACACCTCAGTCTACTGTGAGTATGCGACGAACATGAAGGCGCTGAACTCTTTTTGTCCTCGTCGGAATTCGCGACGCGAACGATCATCATTCCGCGTGACACCATCACGACCGATTATTTTTTTAAGCAGGCTTACTACGCAAGAAAAGAATCACATAGATCGATCATGTAGATTATCACAAGTAAAGTCACAATAATTAACGCGAGTTTCCCGTGATTTGTTTTAATGAAACGTTTCTGCTTTCTTCACCGTCCAGTCGCTGATGTCTGAAACATCATGAACGATTTACAAATCAGCGAGAATCTAACTTTTTTCTTAACTATTATAGAGCTAAAGCGAGCGTTGCATTCTTGTTTCTTGATACTGTGAAGATACGATGAATTAAAGCAAATTACAGTTTTGATGATTAAATCATTATAAACGATTATAAGCATCGTTTTTTTTTCTTATTTAACCCCTTTTTAATTAGAATTTAGTTAAATATAAATAAATGATTTTTCAAAATAAAAATTTTTTATTTTTTAAATATAGATATAAAAAATAAGAAGAATGAAAGCAAATAACAGAGAGAAAAAAATGAAAAATCATCTATTTTTCAATTTATTTCAATTTTAAATATTCAAATTGTTTATAAAATATTACAATCTTATTTTTTGATTAATTTAAACCAAAGTTTTTAAGAGGATTAAATATTAATTAATATATAGCTACTTAACAAATTAAAAATTTTAATTAATCTTTGAATTTGAGTTGCAATAGTTCAGCTTTCTATTAATTTAGAATAGCTTAAAAAATATACATATGTTACAAATGAAAGAAAGGTCATCATTTGATTACGGAGCATTACGAAGCACAAACTCTCATCTGTCATCAACAATGATAACTCGTCAACTTTCCATTTATAACCCAATTATACTTTGCTGACTAATACACAACGTAGCAAACTCAAACGATCATTATTACTCTTTGTAACCCACGCGAAAGTCTCTAAACACAGATTATCCTTTTCGGTATCTCATAAGTCCTGTAAGTACCTAATGTCAGGTGTTCTTGAATCAGCTGCAGAACTATCAGAATTAATCTCTATGAACTTGCTTACGTAAAAAACTAGAATTACTAAACAAAAAGATGTATTCTGACATAATATGCAGCAACTAATATTACTTTTAATCAATAGCGATTATTTTTCACTTTCTTTTTCCATTTTCCCTCTCTCTATATAAAATTTTTCTGAAACTTTTTTTATATTATATTCTTTTGTTATATTAAGCTTAAAGCAATCTGAATGAATAAACAATATATATTGCTGAAACTCTTACGAGAACAACAATTATGCATCCAAGATGTATGTTTTCATTACGCTATTGATCAATAACAATCACACATTATGCTCATCAGCTTTCTCATTCGTGATCTTATGAATCTCCCGCGCGACTATAGTAATACACAAGTTCAGCAGCGAGATCATTACTCTCAGTATTCTCTCCTCTGGTAGCTTCACTGAAAGTTGCTCAAAAATGCGCGCTAGCATCTTTTTCCCCTCACCTCCTCTTTCTTTCCTCTGTCCTCAACATACCAGATATTCCGTCCGCTTGTCAGCAGGGATATGGCAACATCTGCAGTCTGGAAAACGGGTTGCATTCTTCACTGGAGCACTGTTTACACGACAGGTTGGACGCCATGGTCACTGTCGTCAGAAACGAGGAAAAGCAGTCCTCAGGGACGGCGTGTCCTTCGTCCTGTCGATGGTGACGGTGGCGGTGATGATGTTCTTGTGCTCTTTCCACGGTATCCTACTTGCGGAACGCGGTCTCATCGATGGGAGGACGCAACACAAAAGACGGCCACTTGTACGCTCATCTCCGCGCGGAATCTCTTCTTGCCGACGTACGCGCACATTCAGAATACGCCAGTCAGCCTTGTTCTCTTGTTGGTCACCCCGCAAAGCTTTTCTCACCCCTTTTTCCACTTCCCCTCTTCATCTGCCCACCTGTCCACCTTCAACCCCCTCGCTCGATCGCGCTCAAGCGCGCGTCCCTCTCGCTCTTAGCCCTGATCTGAGGGCGCGAAACTGCACACTGGGGGGGTTGCACTCCACACGATGACGCGCCTCTGGAGGCTCTCGCGACACTAAACTACCCTTGGAACTAGCACCACGCCCTCCGCGTAGGTGGCACCACCACTCGTTAACCCCCTTTTCGAGGCCAAAGCATCTACTATTAACAATAAGTCTCAATCGAGACTCTTTCGTGTGGTCTATTAACCATGATGCTTTCTTTTTCTATTTTTCTATCTCCTTATTCGTTATTCGGTCCTTTTACACATAGTTTCTTCTCTGCTCAAATTTAATTCTTTTTCATGATAAACATATTTATAAAAGAATAAAATTTTGCATTTTGAAGAAAATAACTTTTAAATTTGACAATTATATTAATATTATAATTAAAAAATATAAATATGCAAACATATAATAATATTTATTTAAATATTTATTAATATAATTTATTTAAATATTAATATAATTTATTTAAATATAATTTATTTAAATATTTTATTTAAATATTTTTAAAAAGAGTCAAGTTTAATCATAATTTTTCCTTCTTGATACATTTTTATTGGAAATATCCAGATATAACGAATGAATGTGTAAAATGAAATCAATGAGAAAATTAACGAAGTATTCTCTTTTCAATATCAGTATATTCTTATTTATTTTGTTATAAATAATTTTTTGAAGTTTAGTTAATTAAATATGTAGATATTTCTTTTACATTTTTAGTAAAAAACTTTTTTAAGTAAGAAATTCTAGATTTTTGCTAAACTCGCTTCTTTGATCAACTTCGATATTTACAAAAACATTATAGGCGCATTTTTATAATGTATTTACTTATAACATTGGATTTATTTAACGCTTGTTTTTTTCCAAAAATTCTTAGAATACTTTCGTAAGCACTGTTTTGTTTCCTGTTTCACAGACTAGAATTTTCATTTTTTGAAAGCGTCGTATGATATCATATTTACAGATATGTACATGGTATTAAATTTACATTATGTAACTGCTTTTTGAAAGGTGCGAATTCGTTGCGAATTTCGTTGCTAGGCAACAAATCTACAGTGTATATACAATATCATGATTATAATATTGCGATCAGTAAAAGAATCCTTATATGTAATATAATCCTTTAAGTTTTAATGTAATAATGGTTTCTAGCTTTAACGAAAATCAAAAGTTAGTTAAATATGGAATAATTTAACATTAAAAATCTGTAACTTCATATTAGCAAATTAAAATCCACAAGTATGTGTATTAAACGGAAATTAAAGGGTGTGTGCTATTTTTTTTATTGCTAGTCATCATACGATGACGGCCAGCTCTCCGCGTTTTTGTAATCAAAGGCCTGTATATCGTGTTCGAAGTCATCGGCGTCATCCATCATTAAATTCTCGTGATTCGAGTAGTTGGCGTAATGCTATTCTTCGTCAACAATCTCGCAGCTGTGATATTTGCTGGAGGAGTCAAGCCAGCTCTCTACACCGCTGGAAGCTAAGTCATCGCAGGACGGCAACTCTGGAAGAGGTTCCATGCTCGGTACGCCCTTCTTCGTCAAATCATTGGCTGCACGTTCCTTGGATTGCTTGTTAACTGAATAAATTAATAGAAATAAATGGTCATTCAATGAGAGATAATTGATTAATATTTATATATATATATATAT